AGGAAACTGTGTTAAAAATCGACGTCATACATTTAATTTTTGTTACATTTTGCATATAGAAAATTAACGAAATGGAAGCATTTTTTACAAATAAATCCCCATTCGTTTCTTGCAAAAGCTTTCATAGTTTAACAGTTTGGACTTGAAACATTTTTGTTTGTTTTGTCGACACACTTATTGTCGAATGAAAATATATTTGTAAGTCTGGAATTGGTTTAGCTGCTCACTTTCGCAATAGGAATTGTTCATTGCCATTTTTTCTAAAACTTTAATTTTTTTGTCAATAAGCTAAATTTTTCGTAATTCATTTCACCATTATCGGCTTGACTAGAATTATATCTTCACAATTATATTGTCTATTTAGATTTCCTCCTTGCTGCTCAGATACGCAATGGGTTTTGTGCCAGTTAAATTTATTGACAATTATTTGGGATTCGACGCTCAAACTTTCCTGCTCACCAACATACCAGGTGGTTCTAGAATCGAGATGTTTGATGGATGCATTTTGGAAAAAGTGGTCCCTGTAGCTCCCAATGTCAAAGGAATTGGTAAGCGAAAATAATAATATTTTACATTAAATAGCGAAAATTTATGAGTAAACACTTGAATGCAAGTGTTTCTTCATAAATACAAATTACGACATGCTTTGTTTCCTTTAATCCCATCAGACATGCATTTAGTCTTGAATACTGTTAGCTAACTGAAGGATTAAATCGTCAACAAGGTTGAATTTATCATTATACATATATGTGTTTATTGCAGGCATTTCATTCGGAATTATCAGTTATGATAATAAACTCCAAATCGGTGTAACAGTAGACAAAGCTATAACTACCAACCAAGAAGAAGTACAAAAAATTGCAAACGACTTCTTTCGAAATATTCGCCTTCTAGACGTTGCATCTAAAAATAGTTGCTGATTTAGCTGAAACTTTAATTTATATTATTTTTTATGTGCTAGTTATGTTTATTAATAGTATGTAACTGTGAATTTTATAGGATTAGAATATTTATTAAAACTAGAATTTAGTTCAATGTCTTTACACATGCTGACGTCTTTTTATCTAATGTAGGTTTATGAAGGAAATGAACTGTGAATAAAGAAGAGATATTTGAAAATAT